CCCCAAAACCCCAAAACCCCAAAACCCCAAAACCCCTTAGATTTTGAATTAAATTGTTTCTTTCTGATAAAATTAAAATATAAATTGGTCTACTCTTCTAATTTCTCATCTTCACAAAAGTAGTCGTCAGTAGTGTTGGTTTTATCCTTAGTAGAGTGGAACTCTTTCAGAAGGGAGCTATCTTCGTCATTCCAGCTGTTATCCTTCATGCCAGAGACTGCTTTGGACATGATGCAGGAGATCTCTTCATTAGTTCCTTCTTCAATGCCGATAGATGCAAAGGTCTGGCTCATGGACCCATTCTCCTTGCCCTTGTGCATCCTTCTTTTGAGCAACCTGATTTCTAAATTCTTTTTCTGCTGCGCAATGTCATTATGGATCAGCTCTGATTTTGCACTAGAATCTTTATGGTGGTTCTTAATTAGGTGAGTTTGCTCCTTTTCTTTCTGAAGAAGCAGAACGTCCATCTCCAGCTGTTTCCGCTTTGGAGTCTCGAAACTGTCGTGGCTCGTGACGGTCTTGGACTTCTCCCGCTTCTCAGGTGTCTGGATTTTATTTTTGTCAACTAAATTTTCTTCCTTGGAGGGCTCCTTTTTAGGGTTCTTCATTAAGGCAAATACTGAAGGCTTGTTGATGAGCCTCAGAGTTCGCTTATAAAAGTTAGAATGCTTAGCTTCATCTACACCTTCATAGTATTCAATGCCTTGAGAGTAAAGATAGATCAAGGTGTCTACATCTTCCATTGTGAAATCACCTTCGTCGATTTTGAACTCATAGTCCATTATGTTCTCAGCGAAGTTTTCTGGCAAGGAGCTTCGCTTTATAAATTTTAATTTTTTCGCTTCTGATGAAGCCTCTGGAGACTCAGAGAGTGAGGAATTCTCTATTTGGTCTTCAGATGTGCTGTTTTGTTGGAACATTTGGCAAAACCAAGTAATATTATTAATAATTTCAATTTTTAAGATGTTTTGGGGTTTTGGGGTTTTGGGGTTTTGGGGTTTTGGGGTTTTGGGGTTTT